ATTAATACAGAGTAAATTGTTATTAAAATAAAAACATGACTTTTTTTTTTTTCAAATGAGACTTATTGTTAGTCTTTATTTGTAATTAATTTCTTTGAGGGGGGCTACATGTGATTATCCCTTTTTTTTCTTTTTTTTTCTTCTTCATTCTTTTTCATTTTCTTTACATCTTCTTCTTCTCTCTTCTTATGTAGTAATGTTCCTCTTCTATTTTCGGCTTAGAGATCCATTGTCCGATCAACTTTTTTTGGTCCGTTAGAGCTCGTTAATCCATCAGGTTTATTGATTTAAAACAATTCAATATTGGGTTAATCGATTCACTTTAAGTCAATACTTTTTTAATTCAATTGCTTGACCAAACTGGCCAAGTTACCAATTTAACCAGCTAGTCTAATTCGAGTTTCGATTCATTGATAGAGAAAATAGAGTAAGGAGGAGGGATAGGGTGGCATAACTGTCAATAATAAAAAAAAAAATGGAATCCTAGACAACTTGATTTCACTTAATCTGAGTTGTGTGTCAAAAAGAGAAAAAATGGTCAGAAATTAGTTTGATACAACCTGAGTTATTGATCTATAGTATTGTGGGAAATAGTTTTGAGTGTATAGCATTTTTGATAATAAATATTATTTAATATAGTATTGTGGTTTAAAAGCCTAAAATGACAATTGAGATATGTCATAACTACAACATTATTAAATGTGAGGATGATTGTGTCTTAGTCATGATCTATATGACTAACTTTTAAAATAAAATTATAAAGGTTGAATTCTCAATGAAATGTATGCTTTTAAAGAAGTGCTCGCAAGCTATTAGATTAGTTTAAGTTAAAAATCTTGAATAGCAAAATGAAATAAAAAATTAAAGAGATATACTTAATCCAATCTAAAATTTCTGTCAAATGTTTATTAAAAATATTATGTCATGTTTTTGTCTAGCCAAGTTTTAAAAAAAAATTAAACGTTAAAAACATGATAGAATTATCTAGCCAAATTTGGCAATATAGTTTTAGTTACTTGTAGATCACGCAACTTATCTGTTAAGAGGATGAATCAACCAAATTTTATTAAGAGTTTAATTTTGACTAGATTTACGGTATTGTGGGAAGTTTAATTTGAAGGTATAGCATTTTGATAATAAATATTATTTAATATAGTATTGTGGTTAAAAAGCCTAAAATGATGATCAAGATAGGTCATAACTACAACATTATTAAATATGAGGATGATTGCGTCTTAGCCATGATCTATATGACTAATTTTTTAAAATTAAATTAGAAGGGTTGAATTCTCAGTGAAATTTATGCTTTTAAAGAAGTGCCTACAAGCTATTAATTAGATTAGTCTAAGTTAAAGATCTTGAATATCAAAACAAAATAAAAGATAATAAAATAAAGAGATATACTTAATCCAATCTAAAATGTCTGTCAAATGTTTATTAAAAATATTGTGTCATGTTTTTGTCTAGCCAAGTTTTAAAAAATTAAACATTAAAAATATGATAGAATTATCTAGCCAAATTTGGCAATACAGTTTTAGTAACTTGTGAATCACGCAATTTATCTGTTAAGAGGATGAATCAACCAAATTTTATTAAGAGTTTAATTTTGACTAGGTTTTTTTTAAAAAAAAAATAAAAAAAACCACCCAACAGCAGTTCTGTGGTTTTCCATTATAAAAGGATAAACATAATCCTTGACCTTTTCATCCCTATAATGCTTTCTAAAGTTCAAAGCTTTTCTTAGTCAGATCCCATTATTACCTTTGTGATTTCTAATTTTTGAAAAAGGTTATTCTATATTCGCGAGTTTAAAGAGAATGACACAAGAAAATAATTATATATAAAACATAGATCTTCATCCTCATGATATCATTCATTTTATTTCTTTTTTTAAATGCATTCTGTTTATCGGAATCATTTTTGGCATGGATGAGGAAAAAAAATTATTTGCCTTTATACCAATTTTTTTATAGTGTCTTAGTTTGATATATGTTAATTCCTTAAAGTTAAAATTATTAATTATTAATTAAGTTTCCCAAAACAAAACACTTTTAAAGTTTATAAAAAAATTAATTTAATACAATGTTTACATTTTTATTAATTTTTTAGTAACAATTTTATATTTATAAAAGTTGTTTAGAAGACATAATCTAATTATATAAATTTTTAGTGTAAAAATTATATACGTAATTAATTTTAAAATTATATAATATTCTTAATAAAAACATAACATTTCTTAATTTTATTTCTAAATGAAATATTCAAGGATTTTAATATTTAGGATTAACAAATTTAATGAATTAAATTATGAGAACTTGATTGAAACAAAATAAATTATAGGACTTAATTTAAAATTAAATAAAAATAGAAAAATCGACAAATTAAAGTTTGGAAAAGATATTTAACTTGTAAATATATGAAATTTAGTTTGTAAATTTGCAAAATTAATTTCTGAATATTAATCTATTAATATTGTAAGAGTTCAACTCATAAGTGCAAGGAGTTTAAGTTATAAAGGACGAAGATGTACTTGTAAAGTTGCAATATTTAGTCTGTAAACATTAAAATAATTCAAAAATAATTTTTAGGAAAAAATGTTATGATTAGTGTGAGCCAGCAATCGATCAGTGGCTGCTAGTCATCGGTTAATAATTGCAGGTGGTCAGTCAATTCTCGCCAGCACCATTCGAAGGAGTAGGAGTCAAAGGGCATTTGTTTTATTTTCCATGGTAAATTAATTATAATTAAGTTTCATGAAATTTTAATATATTTTCACAAATTCATAAAATTTATTTATAAATAAGTTTTTTATATGAAATCTATTTATATTTTCCCCCTTTTTCTTGTTACCCCCAGGAGGGACGAGATCACATTGAAGGGCCTAAACAGTGGTAATAAATTACGTGTAATCTTCCAAAACCTTTCATTATGTTGTACTGATTTTACATAATGTACATTCTTAAATAGCAAAAAATAATGCACATTCTTCTATTTTTTATTGTTGATCCTACCTCTAATTTATAATATCAAACATTTTTTAGAAGTTCTATTTAATCCAAAACATAAGATATTAGATATAGGTCTTATATTACATCCTTACTTCATTTACTATTATTGTTGAAAAATAGTCTTTTATAATTTCAGTTAATATTATTAAGACACATACTTTTTTCATTAAAAAATATAAAATATTTTTAATTGAATTTCACATTTTCATAAAAGTAATTACTTTTACTCAAATTATCCGTCAAGCCCTATCTTTTCATGTTTTTTCCTATTTTATAAAATATTTTATCATAAAATAAATATAAAATAATTTATTTAATATGGGCACTTTAAAAAAAAAATCATAATTACACATTAAAAGATTAAAAATGTCTTACACTTTTTAACATCAAATCCCTTAAAAAATGATGGAGGAAGTATATTTGTCATTTAATGAGAATATAATTAGAAAGATCTAGAATTTATTCTCTCTAAAATATTATCACTAGTTTTATATGATGGCGTATAATAAAATTTGTAAGGACCCATAATAATAATGTTACTCATTTTATCATATTACGCATACAATATACCAAAATAATTTATAATCTACATCTACAATTGTTATAAAACATAAATAATAAAATATGTATGGGAAAATGAAATTTTTAGTTTCTCATGTTTGCATTAATTATAAATTCAATCCCTCAAATTTAATTTTTACCAATTTAGCCTTTTAAATTTGCATTAATTATTAATTTGGTCCTTATTGTTTAAAAATAAGATAATACTGTTAAAGTCTACTAATATGAATGATGAAATATTGATCATGCAGATTGAGAAAAAAAGAAGTGTAATTATTTAAGTAGGAAGAAACATGCTCAGAAATTTCAAAAAAATAAATGAATAAAACTTAGTGTAAGGAACCAGATTGATAAAAATTAAAATGATTTTAGTACTAATTTACTCATATTTAACTATATATACATGTCAAATTATGAGTATACTTTGCACTTTAGATTAATTTGAAAGTTAATGTATGATTGAAAGTTTAAAGTACTAACATAATAATTTAAAAAAATATAAAAAAATTAAATTTAAAAGATTAAATAGATGATTAAGACAAACTTAAAAAGTTGAAAGTTTCATTACCACACCATCTAATTAACAAAAATGTTATCAACATGTGTTGGTTAGAGACTAGGACCACCTAAACACAATCTTGGGTTCAAGTTTTCATGAATGTAGAAAACGTTTTTCAAATAATTACTGCTGCGGTAATTAGTAATATCCATAATGCTTAAATTGACACAGCTAGATAATAAAACTTTATAAAAGAAATTATTAATTTTTAAAAAAATTAATCATTTAATTTTTATAATTTTAATTCAATTATAATTTAATTTTTAAATTTTAATTTGTTGTAACTCAATTTTTAAAATTTTAATTCAATTTTAACTCAATCTATAGACTTTAATTTTTACAATTTAGTCCTCACATTTTTAATTATTTTACTATTAGTTCCTATATCTTAAGAAATAAAATTATAAAGATTAAAATTATATTAAAATTTGTTATTAATATTTTAAATTAATAAAATCTTTTAATTTTTATAAATATTAAACGTTTAAAATATTTTTAATTTTTATAATTTTATTTTTCTAAATATAAAAATTAATATTTAAATAATTAAATTTATAGAGATAAATTATAAGAGACAGAGTTTAAAAATTGAGTTATAATTAATTAAAATTATAAAGATTGAATTTTAATAAATTAAAATTCAAATATTAAGTTATAAATAAATTAAAATTACAATAAGAGAATTAATTTGTTTTTTTTAACTAGCACACGTCTTGTCATAAATCGGAAATCAACGGGTTTGTGGGGCCCACGTCACATTATTTTCGCTCCAAATATCGAAGTTTGCAAGTTAATTCCATGGCACAGATTCATAAATGTTACACCCAATTACAAAAAAGAAGAAGAAGAAGAAGAAGAAGAAGAAGATTAACAAACGTTGATGTGCTGATTGTGCTCTTTCCAATTTTCTCTGCAGAGAATATCCAAAGCACAGAATGTGGGGAAACCACTCCCATCTTCTCCTTCTTCTGCTGGCAATCTCCATTAATATTGCACTCTTCGACTCAGTCGGTTGTGTTGATCCCACCAGCTTTCCTCCAGATTTCAAATTCGGCACTTCCTCTTCTGCTTACCAGGTTTTCTTTTCATCATAAATCCTTTCTCTATCTTCCACAATCTCACATGCACGCAAGAATTTCTTCGCATTCTAATCTATCCATCATACTTGTGATTGGCTTTGACTTGAAGTATGAAGGTGCTGCATTTGAAGGAGGGAAAGGCCCTAGCGTTTGGGACGTTTTCACTCACACATACCCAGGTACATATGTATGTCTGTTTTGCATGTATATGAAATGACTATTCACCTAAACGAGCAATCACAATCGACGGCACTGAATACTGATATATTGACATGGATTGTAAGCACTCATGTATAGAAAAAAGCCAGAGTGGTACAGAGGGAAGAAGCAGGATTTTGTGTGTGAGAGAGAAACAGAGAGATGATTCCAATATATTCCTTTGCTTTTCCCGTATTCCAGCCTGATTGCTCAGTGTTGTTACTGCAATTTCCAGGTTCAAATCGAAAATTAATCTCCTCTGTTTTCACTTTCACTTGAATAGTTTTGTGGTTTAATCTTTTCAGAAAGGATAGCTGATCACAGTGATGGGGATGTTGCTACTGATTCGTACCATCGCTACAAGGTACTCCCACTCGGCCACTCCCATTCTCGTAATTTGCATTTATATGCCTGAGATAATGACTCTCCGTAGATCTTGAACTTCGTTTCTGCGCTCCCCCCCCCCAAAAAAAAAAGAACTTTGTTTTCTAACCAGTTCTCATATTGTTTAGCCATTAAAAAATATTTCAGGAAGATGTGGCCCTAATGAAGGATATTGGGTTTAACGCTTACAGATTTTCCATCTCTTGGCCCAGAATCCTACCCTGTGAGAAACATTTTCATGCACTTCGACTGTTCGATTAATTATTTCAATGATCTATTAGACTTATATCTAACTTCTTTTTATAGATGGGAATCTAAAGGGAGGAGTGAACCCAGAAGGAATAAGATATTACAACAATCTCATTGATGAACTCATATCTAACGGTCAGCTGAAGAACAGCTTTCATTCATGATTTCAGAATAATAAACTAATCGAATTACACTTTGTTCTTATGTCTTACACTTGCAGGATTACAATCCTTTGTAACTCTGTTTCACTGGGACCTCCCTCAAGCTCTTGAAGACGAATATGGTGGTCTTCTGAGCCCCAAAATTGTGTAAGCATTAAGAAATAACAGTAAAATTGACTGAACTGACGGTGTAATCCTTACATTATTCGATCAATTAGTTTTAGCTTTTAAACATTTATGAGAGCACAAATTAGTCTTCTTGTCAAATGTCCAAAGGATTGCCAAGCAACCAGCCTGCGAGAAATTTACTAGTTATCAAAACAGAAATTACAAGACAAGTCTGGTACCATGATATTGTCCTCGAGAACAAATGGAAATGGATCCTTTGTTCATTTTGCTTTCCAAGTGTTTGAATACACCTCTTTTTGGATTTTGCAAACAGGAAGGATTTTGTACGTTATGCAGAAGTATGCTTCAGAGAATTTGGTGATAGGGTAAAGCATTGGATCACTCTGAATGAGCCATCATCATATAGCATTGAAGGCTATGCCAATGGCATATTCCCACCTGGAAGGTGCTCCAGCTTCTTGGGCCTAAACTGCAGTGCTGGTGACTCTAGCACTGAACCCTACCTTGTGACACACCACCTAATTCTTGCTCACGCTGAAGCAGTCAAACTCTACAGGAAGAAGTACCAGGTTACTGCATGATTATCATTCATTAACTCAATCCAAACTCACATAATGTGTTTTTCACTAAATCTTCCTGTGAATGATTATTGCATGCTGCAGATTTCTCAGAAAGGTCAAGTTGGGGTCACACTAGCTTTCATGTGGTATGTTCCCATATCCCAATCAAAGGCTGACAAAGATGCAACATCTCGAGCCAATGATTTTTCATGTGACTGGTAAGTGAGTCTCTTACATAAAGGTACTTTATCCTATTGAGTTAAAGTAGTTATTAATGCCTAATAACAATGAGACCCATACATTGATACTGTATCATGATTTTCAAGGTTCTTGGAACCACTGAACTCTGGGAAATACCCTACAGTAATGGTTAAATATGTGGGTAAACGTTTGCCCAAGTTCTCCAAAAGACAATCATTGTTGGTTAAAGGGTCCTTCGATTTCATAGGGGTCAATTATTACACAGCATATTATGCATTTAATGTTCCTTGCAAAAGTGAAAATCAAACTGCACTGACAGACGCTTGTTTCAACTTTACAAGTAAGCTACAGAATATGAAGCCTACACATTGTCTCTTCTTCACTTTTGTGAATTTTTTTTTTTTGGTACCTTTTCTTACTTATTATCATTTCCTCCAATTTTGTCAGCTGAAAGAAATGGAATTCCGATTGGTTCAAAGGTACTTCTTTTCTCATAATTAAGATACATTGGTGAATCATGAATGACAATATGAGCCAAATGGTCTGAGCCTAATGACATTGTTTTAGATTATGACACACAGATTTATGTTTCCTATTGAATGAACAGAAACTATTTCTGAAACAAAGAAAGACAGCAAAACAAACTAAATGGCCATGACCAGTACATCTACTGAACTTGTATTTGGGTCTGGTTATCACTTTCCAAGCTTAAAGGATTAGTTCTCCTTTCAAATTACAGCAGTGTGAAATTCAGTTTCTCATTAGTCCTCCATTAATATCAATCTGAGAAAGGAATTGAGAAGTGAAAAATATTGCAGGCTGGCTCAGAATGGCTATACATCTATCCACAAGGAATTCAAGATGTATTAGAATACACTATGAAGAAATTGAACAATCCAATCATTTACATAACAGAAAATGGTAAGAAATTCAGCTACTTGATGTAATCTTTAGAATGTCATAATCAGTGTTTGCTTTCTTCTTCGTAAGTCAGATTTCCCCAAACGCTTGCAGGATGTAACGAGGTTGATAATGGTAGAAAGTCACTTAATGACAAGATGAGGATAGACTATGTCAGTCGCCACCTTCTGTATATTAGAAGGGCCATGAGGTAAGTTTCTTTTGCAGAAAAAGAACAGTACTTCTGCTTCTGATTCTGAAGCTTCTATAAATCAGTAGGATTCAACACATGAAATTTTTAATTAAAATCAGTTGTACTTAGTAGGAATGGAGTGAAGGTGAAGGGCTACTTTGCATGGTCACTTTTGGACAACTTCGAGTGGGTTTTTGGATACGCTGTTCGGTTTGGAATAATATATGTAGATTTCAAGAATGGACAGAAACGATACCATAAAAGATCAGCTCTTTGGTTCAAAACTTTTCTCCATCAATGGAATGGTTCTCAGTACTGAACAATATTGATGGATGAGTGAAATAAAATTATGTTTGATTATTAATATTATGAGATGTATACAGGTTTTAAGCATTATTTTTCTCTAATTATTAATGTTAAATTATGACAGTTTAAACATAAAATCTTCTTTTCCGATTCGGGTTGTTTCTCTCTTTTGCAAGCATTTTAATAAAAATAGATAAGAGGTCCCAAACTAACTAAAATACAAACAGATAGCGAGAGGGACAGCTTGTTATCTTGCATAATTACACGCAAATCCTAATTATGAAAATAAAACCAAAAAATAAAAGGTAAGATCAAACCCAAGCATACTTGGCCATTTGAACACTTGCATGCAAGTTGAAGACCAAAAAAAGGGGGGGGGGGGGAGATCCCCACTAAAGGACCCCCATAAGGGGCATAATTTCATGGAAGGACCAAATGATTGTGAAGTAGCATTCAATGCTATGATTAAGAAACTGAAATGTAATTACATTTTTTATTGACTACCAAAATACCCTTCCTTTATCTTGCTTTAATTTGTCTTCAGAGCTCTAACGGTCATTAATGATGGTTTAGCTGGCAGTGCTGGTGACCCCATTATTCAGTATTCACGATGAGGCTCCAAATTAGTAAGGGATACTTTGATAATTGACTAACAAATTTTAATTGCAATTTAGTCCCTTGGCCCATTCATAATATTTCAAAATAAATTGGTCCTTGCATGCAAATAAGGTGTTTGGGTGGTCTTTCAATATTATTCTCCCAAGAAAAAATTTAATAAAGCAGAAAAAGGAAACCGCAATATACATTGGCCATGAAGCTTTTATTAGAAAAACACCAAAACATGGCAGCAATCTCTTAAACAAAATTTATAAGTTGATGTACTTTGGTCTTGAAGGTTTTATTAGAAAATGTCAAGACCTAGTAATAATGGTGGTGGTTGTGTCAAATAAAAGTGGCTACCTCTTAAGCAAGATTAAGATTGATGATCTGAATTTGTGCGTGAAAAAATCATCATGAGAGGGATTTTTTCCAAAAAAGAAAAACCTCAACAATATTTTGACAAATTTTAATAAATAATTTAAAATTTAATATTAAAATTAAAAATTAATTACAACAAAGAACAACCAACTGTAATTAATATTAATCATGTATTCATCAACAATAGATCATTTTACAAAGCATTTATTAACATTTTTTTAAAATAACATAAATATTTGCATGTATTTTTTATTTAATTATGATACATAAATTAAAAATATATTAATTTAATGTTAATTGGTTCAACCATGATTGAACCAGTGAACTGTGAACTAGTATTTAATTTAGTTTAATGATCGGTTCAGTTTTTAAAACCTTAACAGGGACTAGAGAGGCCCCAAGCAATTTGGATAATTTTTTATATGTGAAAAATGATTAAAATATCCTCATTGGTCGTTGACCTCCTTTGACCTCCAATCCTTTGGTTGTTCGCCGTCGGTGCCAATTGGCCGGTTATCAAACATGTAAAAATGGATTTGTAAAATGTGACAAACCTGAGCAAAAACACGCAACATGACTTGTAAGTTCTCTAGGTTAACCTCTAAGTTGCAGGAACTTGTGAATATAAATAATATTCAAAAGATTAAAAATTAATGGATTAAAATATTGATAATATTTTTAATTTCAATAGTTCATTGTGCTCACAGTTAAGAGGGTGAACTTGGTCAAAGGTGGTCCACAGTACATGCCATATGGGGGCATTTTAGTCATTTTAATATCATAGAAATGAGTAGCCCCCGCAAAAACAAAAAAAATCCCAAGGGACATGTCTATAAAATAAATGAAACTGGGGGTACTTAATTGTATTTAATATGCTTCTACATGTCCATGTTCTGAAGATTAATTGGATTTTGTAGGAATGGAGTGAAGGTTTAAGACTGTTGGACGATTTCGAGTGGACTGCTGCCTGGATACACTATTCGGTTTGGAATAATATATGTAGATTTCAAGAATGGACTGAAACGATACCGTAAGAGATCAGCTCTGTGGTTTAAGACTTCTCTCCATCAATGGAATGATTCTCAGTACTGAACAATATTTGATGGATAAGTGAAATAAAATGAGGTCTGATTTTCACAGGCTACTTATTTATCAGAAACGAATCAACTGTACTTCCTCCGGTCAAAATTACAGGGCAAAATTTTAAATGTATTATAATTAATTTTTGTTTTCAAAATTGCCTCTCTTTGATTGCGCGAAGTTGTTGGCAAACTTTTACTTCTTAGACAAACTTAATTATGATCATTAATTTAATTAAAGAGTAAAATCGGAAAGTCACAAACTTTACCCTATAATTATGATTGAAAGGAGTATTTAAATAGTGGCAATTTAAACCGCAATTGTATGTAACAAAATCATTTTTCATTGCTTACAAGTGTTTTTTTATTGGACGCAATTATGATCAAAATATAGTTGAATACTAAATGTAAGCACTCTTTTTTTTTTTTTAACTCAATTGAAATTTAACAATACAAATATGTTTCTCCAAGTTCATAAAAGTACCTATTTATCCTATAGAAATTTTGAAAGGATAATTAATGTTTGTACGCAAAACATAATCGTGCTAGCTTAACTTAAGCTTAAAATTCTTGAAATTGTCTAATCTACTTCATCTAATATCTTGAATTATAATAGTTGAAAGGTTTTGATCAAGTTTAGTAACCTATAGTTCTCAAGCATAAAACATCTACTTGCCCCTTAATGCAGCGTCTTGGTGGCTAGAGGGAGATTCTGAAGAATCTACAACATATTTATATTCCATAAGGAATTTGCTAAATTGCACTCTGCAAATTAGAATTTTTAAGAATGCTATCTAAAAGCATTATCATGATACATTATAATCATTACATTTTTTTTTAACAACACGGTGGAAGAAAAAGATCATTACATTTTTTGAAAAAATTAATCATTTAATTCTTATAGTTTTGACTAAATTATAACTTAATTTCTAAATTTTAACTTATTATAATTTAATTCTTATAGTTTTAATTTGGTCAAAACTTAGTCCCTAACGTTTTTCTCTTGCAATTCAATCCCTATATTTTTAACTATTTAAATATTGGTTTATATATTTTAAAAAATAAAATTATAAAGCTTAAAAATATTTTAAAATTTTAGTATTATAATATTTAAAGATTAAAAGATTAAAATTATAATATGTTAAACTTTTAATATTTATAAATTTATAATATTATTAATAAAATTATAAAAATTAAAATTATGTTAAAATTTATCATTAATATTTTAAATTATTAAACCATTTTAATCTTTATAAATATTATAAAATATTAAGAGTTCAAAATATTTTTAATCTTTATAATTTTATTTTTTTAAAATATAGGAATTAATATTTAAATAAGTGAAACTATAGAAACTAAATTGTAAAAGGTAAAGTTTAAAAACTGAGTTATAATTTAGTAAAAATTATAAAGATTGAGTTACAATTAGATCAAAATTATAAGAACTAAATGATTAACTTTTTTTATTTTTTTTAAAAAATAAGTCGAATCAGATAATTACATTTTCACACACACATGCATTTATATTTACCACCTATTTATATTAAATTATGGTTGATACGATGGCATAATATTTTTTTGGCCAAAATAATAGCAAAAATTATACTCTCTTTATTAAAAAATATAAGACACTTTTTTGAAAGTAAGATGTTAAAAATAAAAGACATTTTAAGTCTTTTATGGTGCAATTAATAATTTTTTTAAAAAAATGCTCTTTTATTAAAATTTGCATAATTAATAAAGTTTTCTAATTAAGACACCACATTAAATAAAAGTAAACATGAAAAGAATGAATAATTTTAAAAATAATTAATTAATTTATTGAAAGTAATTAGATCAAGAATACTTCATAGAGAGAGTATAGTTGGGCTCAATCATGAGGAATGATAATGACTTAGTTTATTAAGTTGATGGCCGTCTTGATGTTACAAAAATTATTTGTGAGCCGGTCATTTACTCATTTAATTTGTTTCGTATTATTGACAAGGTCCTATTTTCAATAATTAAACAACATCAATGTACAAAGCAGGCAATAATAATAACAAAGCAAAAGCCCAAATGATGGCAGGCTACTTCTATCTTTATATCACCTAAATTAATGCCATTAGTGATAACGACATTATGACACTTTATTAATATTAGGAAAAATTAATCCCCAATCCTTATAGTTTTATTGAGTTTTTAACTAAGTCCTTATAATTTTTTTTCTTTTTTTCAAGCCCCTCAAGTTTACTCTGTTACATCAGTTGGTCCTTTTTGTTTAAAATCGTTAATAAATGTTAATGGTGTTAAAAATTCTGTTAAGTAACAATTACGTGGAAATATAATGGGGATTTTGTTTTCATCAAATCAGACTGAGCACCAAAAATTAAAAAAAAAACATTTGAAATAGGAAACTTGTTCAGTTCATGTATACTGGAGACGTAAAGAAGCGTAACCAAGAAGCTTTACATTTAGGGTTGTCATTGTCTCTTCTATTCCATTGATATCGACACAGGAAAGGAGGCAAAATCATCATCATTGAGCTCCATAAGGTTAGTCAACTATCTTCTCTGTTTCATCGTCCTTTCTCCCTCTAGGTAAGTCGAGTTTGCGCTTTTGAGTTCCATCTAGTGAAACAAAGAAATTGAAAAGAGAAGGTCAGAGGGAAAACATTGCTCTGAATCTTTTTTTTTTTCTATCACTGAATGAAGATGGGACTAAGTTGATGTTTTAGTGGAGATAGGATCAGGGGAGAGTTTTTTTCCAACAAGAAAATCACAATATGAAATGAAGCTACAGCATAGGAGTAGATGAATGACGCGCTGGGATTTTGCAAGATGTA